TAGTACCTGTGATATCATCCGAACAAGAGCTTGTAACGCGGATACTCTGGCCTGGAGAGCGGTGAGTGAGGAGAGGAAAATTGCTTACTGGCTTGGGAGGGCTGCACGCGTGCTTGAGGGGGAGGTGGTGCTTGGCACATTGCTTGGTGTGCAGCTGTGAGTAGCAGTAGCAGGAACAGCAGCAGTAGCAGTAGAAGCAGCTGGAGAAGCAGCAGTAGTAGCAGTAGTAGCACTAGCAGTAGCATTAGCAGTGACAGCCATAGAAGCACCCATTGGGCCTAAGTAAAGCCCTCTTGTGCCAACTTGGGCCCTTGTAAGGCGATGCAGCCACTCTCCTGGCCCATGCTGCCCTCCCAGCACCACTCTCGCATGGGATGCTGCTGTAGCTGTCTCAGCTGTAGCACGGACTGAAGCCCTTGCTGCTGCAGGTGCAGGCTCGGGAGAGGGTGGTTCGGAACCCGGAACTGCCCGAGATCGAATCAAATCCTCAATGAGCCTGACGATGTCAAACGATTGGCCCATGGTAGATGGTAGTGCCGCTGTTCTTCCCATAACGCCCGGTAGGCAACCAGCAATTACTTGTCGGTCTACTCCGGAACGACAGGCATCTGCATCAGCAACTGGACGACCGTCATAATCATGCAAGCCCCAACAGTTAACCAGGCGACTAGCGGCGGCACGTGGCCGGGGAGGCCGTGCAACTATTGGCGATGGCTGGAGCTGCGGCGGCATCGGCATGATCGTCGCACCACCCGGCGCCACCCTCTTTTCTACTACTGACTTTTGATACGTCTCAAAGATCGTCGCACCACCCCGTAGCAGCCTGGCTTCTACCTGTGAGGCCCGGAAGGCCTGCCGTTGAGCAGAACTCTTCGGAGGGTCACCGTGCCCTGAGTGTCCTTGGGAATGACGATGGGTTGATGGATGCTTTGCCATCGTGTCACCACCCAGCAGCAGCCTGCCGTTCGACTGTGAGGCCCGGTATGCCTGCCGTTGAGCAGAACTCCCCGGAGGGTCGCCGGGACGACAGGGCCCCTGGGAACAGGGTGGCGGCTGCATTCTCATTGTCACACCACCCGGCAGGAGCCTGCTGTCTACCTGTGAGGCCCGGGAGGCCTGCTGCTGGGCTGAAGGTCCCGGAGGATGACTGGGACAGGGCCGCCGCTCCTGGGAATGGGGTGGTGGCTTCATTCTCATCATTGCACCAGTCCGCAGCAGCCTGCCTTCTACCTTTGAGGCCCGGGAGGCCTGCGGCCGTTGAGCTGAACTCCCCGGAAAGCCACTGAGACGGGGCTTTTTGGAGCCATGATGGGATGGCTGTACTCTCATCGTCCCACCACCCAGCAACAGCCTGCCGTCTACTGCCGACGCCCGGAAGGCTTGCTGCTGAGTTGAACTCTCCGGTGGGTCACTCGGAGAGGGTCCTTGGGAATCAAACCCATGATGAAGGGGTGGTGGGTGGTTTGGCAGCCCATGTGCTGAGAGTTCCTGCTGGGGACGTGGCTGGGTGTTATCATACCCTGGGGCAGTGCATTGAGAACCTGCTTTCCTGTTAGAGTCTGACCGACCACATGGAGAGAGGCTTTCGTGCTTTCGGTGAAGCGCCATTGCCGGGTGCTGGGCCAGTCACGGCTCTGTCACTACTATTATTTCTCTGTTATCTCTCCCATCCCGGGCCTGTGGCAAGGAGTTAGTACTGCTTGATGATACGTCCTTAGACAAAGCACGACTAGATGTACAGGACTGCGTGTGCACTTTCTCAGTACTCTGGCAAATGCAGGTTGATCGAGCTGTATGATAAAAGCACCTTATCCTGCCAGTGGGATAAGAAGTACTAGCAATACCGTGTCTATAGTGACTATACACCCCGTTCCACCTTTCTACGGTGATCGTTGGGCAGCTCATCTCAGCCTCCCTATTCAAGTTGAAGTTGGGCAATGATTCAGCCAGAGCTGCTCTAACACACTGGCCGGAATGGTGCTCCGGACTGTTCTCAGCCCGGAGCTGCTTGGAAACTGACTGGGGTGAAACCAGGCCCAATTGGAACCAAGGAAATGGAGGAACAGAAGAGAACGGAACAGAACGGAACGGAACGGGAACGGAATGGAACGGAACAGATCGCCATTCTGAATGCGAGGTGTGTAGTTTTGTTGGGGAGGCCGTGGCCAGGGTTGGGTGATTTCTGAAAGCCCGTGGTGCGAAATGGATGCAGGTGTGCAGAGGTTGAGACTATCAGATGAGAGAATAGCTCTTCATTGGTGACTAGGGGCGTCTGATCTGAATCCCACTCCTCTGCAGTCACTAGAGGGACAAGTGATACAGTATCTTGTACAGTGCTCTCTTTGGCAGGACAGTTGAGGGAAAAAATGTCTCGTTCTTCCACGTTAGGTTTGATCCGACGTAGCGCCATCTACACGATACAGCTTGAAGGCTCAGCTATTCTCTGAAATCGAACGCGACCAATCCTCGAGCGCCGACCATTTGGGGACCATCCTTACGGCTCTTCTGGTCGGCGGGGGAGGCCCACACAAGACAGAGTTGTTGGGAGGTATGTGGTAACTGCAATATTACTGTGCTTTACGTGCTGGCCATTTATTGGCCGTGTTCATGTTCGCCAAACGCTTACGACACTCATCTTACAGGTTCATCTGTCGCATTTTTTGGCACTGAGCGGAAAATAGCGTCGTACTGTATGATCCGTGCCTCAGATTCGCTGAAACCTTGTGCTCCTGCAAACAGTCGGGGTTGTTTAGGGGATGGTAGAGAACTCCATTGCCAGCTTCTGGAATCATTCTACGGCACATTTTTTAGCTGAACTGCTCCGCCATCTCGAAGGAACGTGAGCTAGTGGATCTTAGAATCAATCCCACACGATCTTACTTTCCCAGGGTGCATTTGGCACATCAATTGCACACATAAAATGATGTTGGTCGTGAATCTGTCTGTGGCGGGGCGAATGAACAGAATTGCCTCGAAGAATGACCCGGAGCAGTTCATGGTTTGATCAGTACTCAATAAGATACTTGTGATTTAGGGGGTCCGATGATTACATTATGATGTATATCAATAATACAGAAACACTGTAATGTTAGCCTCAAGTGTACAGTGAGCCAGAAGTTATCAGCATGACAGCTCAGGGAAAAGCTCCCTGACTGAAAAAGTACTCTCCACTGCCTGAGCCCCCTGATTCTCCACAAATAAATGCATGAAGCTAACGTCCCTTCGTGGATCAATCATCACATGCTCCTTGCTCTTCTGCGTAAAAGACTCCGCCAGTGCCTCAACAACAATCACGGCATCCTTGTCGAGTAGTCCAGCACACGGATCAAGCACAGAACTTGCAATCGCAGGATTTTGATGCGCACCCGTTGTGGCATCGTAACGACCTTGTGCGTTAACGTCGACACTGTTATGGGGATCAGCATAGGGTAACTGATCACTTGCATTGAACGGACCAGATTGCTCGACTGGAACTGGGCTGGTATGCTGCACATAAGATGGATCTGGGAGCAGCGTGCTCTGGGTGGCAAGCTCGTGGTGGCTTGGAAAGACCTTCAAGTGATTGGCGAGCTTGTCCTTTCGGCTGGCACGGCAGAACAGGGGGGATGAGATGTGCAGGAGACGGGGTTCAATGAGTCAACAAAGGCATTGCACACACGAGGAGCACGTCAAACTCACAAAAGAGTTATCAATTCTCGATGGCATGATATCATATGGTATGACATGATACGAGATGGCGTGGCGTGACTTGACATGACATGATCTGACATGGCATGACATGATATGCTATGCACAGCAGCGCCATACCTAAACGAGTTGCCGCAGGAGCACTGCCACCGCCGTGGCCCGCACCGCCTCTCATGAGCCTCCCGGTCGGCCGGCAGGCAGAACGACTTGCTGCCGCACCGCGAGCACAGCAACGCCTCACCAGCGTGCGTCCGACGGTAGTGGTTCCGCAGCGACGCCTTCGACTTGAATGCGCGGAACGCCGGGTGCTGCTTGTTGAACGGGCAGCCTGCAGCCGGGCAGCTGAACATCTCCGACACTACACCGGCAGTAGGAAGTCCGCATGAATTTGCTCCAGTCGGACCAGTCACATCCTCCACCAATTTCTCCTCATAGCCCCCAGCTTCCATGTTTCCCGCAATTTCCATGCCGCTATGCGGATCAGGCTCTGCCACAACGGCAACTCCAAGGCCTGGAGACCGCAGCTCACCGCACAAGTTGCTTTTTTGGAGGGGTTCGGCAGACCAGGCGGCTTCTGCAGCAGGTTCTGTTTCGCACTCGTCGTTGCGACCTCTTTTCCTCCCGACCGCGATCCAACTCTGCGCGTCAAGTGTCAGGTCGCGCATCGGTGTTGCATCTGGCGCCACCTCCGCCCGTGCCTCTCCGACAGGCTCTTGCCGAGGCTCCCCAGGTTCGGCAGCTGTTGAGCTGGATTTTAACTCCGGAGAAATCAACGCCGCTGCTTCCGGAGCAGCAGCAGAGTGGGTGGCGGTCGGAGCAAGTATAGCGGAAAGCGGATTTTGAATTCCCCCATCGGCGATTGACGGAGTTCCGTTAGCGGCGGCAGGTGGATTGGATGACTCGAGAGCCCCCGCCGGCTGTAGCAGAGGCTCAGCCTGAAGTACAGCAGCTTGCTGGTTGGGCGGCAGCAGCGAGACGGCCGCTACAGCCAGCTGTCGGATCATGGTCCCCACTGCTACAGCCGCCTGCTCGTAAGGCGCCTCGTCAACCTTCAGCGCTGACGACGGCTGAGAGGGGAAGGAGAGGGGTTTGCAGGGGTGAGGATCGTTATTGTGTGACGGGGGGGGGGGGGGGGGGGGGGGGGGGGGGTAGAGTTTTAGAACTCAGTATACATGGTTTCTAACCGCCGTCCATGGCCAATATAAAGCAGAGGGTTTTTAGCAAACTCTTTAATCGGTCATCAACGATCGGGACTATCCGAGAGAACCAAGTATACTCTCAGCGAGCGAACGAAAACCTAACTGCGTGATTACCTGAGCGAGCATCCCCAGGAGGACCTGCAGATGCGACACGCGTGACTGGAGCACGGAGAGCGACAGGAGAAGCACTTGCGGCTCGATCACTGTCACAGTCGCGGCACGCGGCGGCTCGGTCGTCGCCGCACCGGTCGGCGCTAATACAGACGCATGGGATTCGATACAGCATCGGAAAAATCCCTGGTTAGCCAAACACAGGCCCGAGGGATTTGCCCGTGAGTCCTCTGAGGGTGGGGGGCAAATGGAAACCATAGGTTTCCTGCTGGATGTGCCGGTCGAACTAGAAATTATCGAAACTGACGACTGATCGTTTATTTTCTGTCTCAATCTACCATTCATTGGGCTGACTGGAACGGCCGAGGTTCGACAGTTTAGGGTCAGGTCCGTGTCGAGCTGGTTTTGATGAGACACAGCCGTGAATTGTGCCACGTACTCTCCCTTCGTAACTTTGCCACTGTTTGCCCATTCAGGGCTGGTTTGTTTTGAAGTCGCGGGTGTCGCGATCTGGTTACAGGTTTCACATTTCGTTGCATGTGGCATTTGCCTTGTCCTGTAGTGTTGGTTGGGACATCGTGTTTTTTTTTTCTGACTCCTTGCTTCTCAGATTTCACTTTAACCGATATACGTTGGCTCGTTTACATTGTGTGCAGGTTTTCTGTTTTACATGTGTTTTATGTTATCTGCAGTATGCAGGTAATTTGTTTTAGAATTCCAGACACTACGCACTGGTTTTCGACATTCGTCCTACTGTTTATAGGGTACTGTTTTGTAATTGGTACATAGCGGTTATTGTAAGTTGGATTTCCGATTTAATCAATGATTTGCTCAGATACTAGCCTTAGTGTTATTAGTGAGTGTATGTAAATTTATACACATGATGACGGATAACTTGCGTAATTTACATTTGCATGGTCGCAAAATATTGGTGTGCTTGTGTTGTTTTAGTATTGTATGTTATAGGTTTATGGATTTAACTATCATGATTGTTCTTGTACTGTGCATACAGTATGTTACTATGCAACGCGTCCGTTTGTTTTGTCGTACACGACCAGGTTGAATACATTGGTTGACACGTGTGTTTCCCGCCACAATTTTGTCAATGCTGTTTGGTGACGCTGCGCGATTTTTCGCGAGTCGCGCTAGTTCACATTTGGGTGATTTGGCGCGTTTGACAAAAGTAGAAGAAAGAAGAGAGAGAAAGAGGATTGAACTAGCAGAAATGGGGATACAAATAGCAAACCCTAGAAGGGTTGTACTCGCTATAGAGCACCCCACTACAGGCTAGAACATAAGATAACATTCTGACAGCGTTCTCATTCGTTCACACGCGTTTGACCAGCCGTGTCGCTTTGTAACATTCAGGTTTGGTCGCGGGTCAGTTTGAAGTGCTCACGCTTTGGTTTCGAGTGGGTAGCCCGTATGCCTTAAGTGATGTTTAGCTGCCTAAGTGATGTTTAGCTGCCTAACCCGGATGCATAGTATTAGTCCTGGCCATATCGCATTTCCCTGCGAACTGATAACACACCCTGCCATTGTATTAAGGTGGATGTTGTTTAAAGGGCACCTTTTGTCAGTTCTTAGCAAAGGTGGCGTTTCACTTTGTACCCCTGTTTTTAAACGTTGTGTTGGGTATCAGCCCGTCGGGTTGAGGGCAGAGTTTTAGGCACCACAGACTCCCACGCTTTGGCCCCAAACCTATCGACAGGCCTGCTTAGGGGGCAAGGAACTCAGTCATCAGTTCTGCTCGAAGTCTTGTGTCTGGAATTCCGAATTCCAAATTCGTCCATGTTCCCAAACTCGACACGATTCCAAGCCCCAAAAATCCGTGCATTCCGCCTCCGCAACAATTTCTTGCGGTTAGCTGCGATTTAAGTACTGAAGTTGGGGTTAGGCTACACTTGCGGCCACTGGTGGCGGCTAATCCGCGAGCTTTTTTCCAGCCGGTGGTTCATTCACCTTGAAGTGGCGATCTCAGAAGGTGAGTTATTTAGCTTCATGGAGCCCCCGCCGCCCACTCCTTCTCCGTCGCTCTCGCTTTCCCCCTTCACACTCCCCTTAGCCCGTCGCCCTCGCTTTCCCCTCGTCGTCATTGCTTCCCCCGTTGGTCTCGCTTTTCCCCACCGCACACTCCTTCCCCCGTCTCTCTCGCTTTCCCCCCCTGCCCACTCCTCCTGTCGTTCTCGTTTGCCCCCGTCACCCACTCCTTCCCCCGTCGCACTCGCTTTCCCCCGTCGCCTCTGGCTTTCCCCCGTCGTCCTTGCTTCCCCCATCGCCCTCGCTTTCCCCCGTCGTCATTGCTTTCCCCCGTTGCTCTCGCTTTCCCCAGCCGCCCACTCCTTCCCCCGTCTCTCTCGCTTTCCCCCGCCGCCCACTCCTTCTCCCGTCGTTCTCGTTTGCCCCCGTCGCCCTTTCTCTACCCCGTCGCCCACACTTGTCACCGTCCCCCACGCTTTCCCGAGTCGCACACGCGTTCCCCGGCGCCCACACTTGTCACCGTCCCCCGTCGCTCTTGCTTTCCTCTGTCATCCTCCCTCCCTTTCCTCTGTCGTCATTACTTCCCCCATCGCCCTCGTTTTCCCCCGCCGCCCACTCCTTCTCTGTCGCTCTCGCTTTCCCCCTTCACGCTCCCCTTAGCCCGTCGCCCTCGCTTTCCCCTCGTCGTCATTGCTTCCCCCGTTGGTCTCGCTTTCCCCCGCCGCACACTCCTTCCCCCGTCTCTCTCGCTTTCCCCCCCTGCCCACTCCTCCCGTCGTTCTCGTTTGCCCCCGTCACCCACTCCTTCCCCCGTTGCACTCGCTTTCCCCCGTCGCCTCTGGCTTTCCCCCGTCGTCCTTGCTTCCCCCACCGCCCTCGCTTTCCCCCGTCGTCATTGCTTTCCCCCGTTGCTCTCGCTTTCCCCCGCCGCCCACTCCTTCCCCCGTCTCTCTCGCTTTCCCCCGCCGCCCACTCCTTCTCCCGTCGTTCTCGTTTGTCTCCGTCGCCCTTTCTCTACCCCGTCGCCCACACTTGTCACCGTCCCCCACGCTTTCCCGAGTCGCACACGCGTTCCCCGGCGCCCACACTTGTCACCGTCCCCCGTCGCTCTTGCTTTCCTCTGTCATCCTCCCTCCTTTTCCTCTGTCGTCATTACTTCCCCCATCGCCCTTGTTTTCCCCCGCCGCCCACTCCTTCTCCCGTCGCTCTCGCTTTCCCCCGCAGCCACTCCATTTCCCGTCGCTCTCTCTTGCCTCCGACACCCACTCCTTCCCCCGTCGCTGTCGCTTTCCCCCGTCTCCCTCCCTTTCCCCCATTGTCCTTACCCTCCCCGTCGCTCTCGCACACTCCTCGTCGCTCTCGCTTTCCCCCGTCGCCTTTGTTACACACCGTCGTCATTGCTTTCCTTCGTCGCCAGCTCCTTCCCCTCTCGCCCTCCCCTTCCGCCCCCGCCTTTTCTTGACCCCCGCCTTTGGCTCCCCCGTCGCTTTTGGTACACCCGTCGGTTTTGGTACACCCCCCGCCATTGCTCCCCCGCCCTCGTCACCTTCTCCTGCCCCGTCGCCCTCGTTTCTCCCCGTCACCCACCCCTTCCCCCTTTGCCCACGTTTCCATCCGTCTCCCACCCTTTTCCCTGTCATCCTCTCATACACCCGTCGCCCCCGGTTTCCCCCGTCTCACCATCTCTTACACCCGCCACCCTCGTAAGCTTGTGCCGCCCTCGTAAGCCCCCTGCCTTCCCTCTGCCTGATACCCTTGGCTGTGTGCACTCAACTGCCTCCTTCTCCCCCCGCTTCTTCGTTCAGGGATCCTTCCACCCTCAGCAGTCTCTCATTACTCCTCCCTCCTCACCACCCCTCCGCCCGCCCCTCACCACCACCCTCCCATCTCTTCTTATAGCAGATGGCTTACAATTGCGGAGTGTGCGGAGCTGCCGGGTTCTCTGGTAGGGGTCCGCTCACAAACCATCAAAATGGCGAAACGTGCAGAGCCACCGCCGCAAATCGTTCTGCGACCGCTGAATCTTCACGCTCCATGCAACTTCCACGCACCACGCAAGCTACCATGCCACGGCCTATGTTGAACATACCCACAACAACTGCACCCATGCCTGACACCCCGCAGCCTCCTCCTCCTACTTCAGTCCCCACCATTCCTGAGCCCGAAACCCACACAGAGGAGAGGGCTGAAGGTGATGGCGTAGGGGATGGTGGGGCGGCATCAGGAGGTGAGAGCGACACATTCAATTTTGCAGATGCATTCGCTCATTTCCTCCTTACCTCCAATCTGTCCAAAAGTGCTATTGATAAGTTGCTCCTCATCTTGAACCTTGGTTCAAAGTTCAATGACGACGTTGTCGTTTTCCGAAATGCGCGAGACGTTGAAAAATACGTCGATGAACGCATCCCAGATCCTCACCGTAACTGGAGACGAGGTCTTGTGCGCGTACAGTCAAAAGCTTCGTTAGAGTTTTTTTTTTTGTGATGGTGTCATTGGGATGATTGACCTTTTGACACATCCAAAGAATGCAGACAAACTCGTTCTTAAACCCACGTCGCGCATCCCCGGTGAGACACATGTGTACTCATCACCCGAATCCGGGGATTGGTGGTTTACTTTGCAGAATGAGGTCAAAAAAGTGGACCCGGACGGGGTCGTGGTTGCTCTGATATTGTCGAGCGATGAGACACATATGGACCAAAGAGGCAAGGCCAAGGGTCATCCAGTGTACCTGACACTGGGAAACATCGATAAGCATGACCGTTGGAAGCCATGGGGCCATGTACTGCTTGCTTTGCTTCCTGAATTCACGCCTCAGTACAATTCGCTAGACAAGTTGATTGTCTTCCAACACATCCTGTCAATGGTCATGGAACCATTGCGAAAGGCCTCACACACCGGAGTGAGGGTCCAGGACCCTACTGGTGCCACGTACAACGCGTGGCCTGGTTTGTACGCATACGCATGTGACTATCCTGAGTCGTGCAAGGTGACTTGCACAAAATCGGGGGCCACATGCTTCCCATGCTCGTTGTGCACAGTCCCTGTTGCTGAGACCAACAAACTACTGCCTCGCATTGTCCCTCGTACTCCACACTTGCAAAAGGGCATTACCTCGCTTTTGCAAATGCGGTTGTTTCTGAAAGGCGTGTCAAGCATGTCAACACATCCGCTGAATTGTTTTCTGTGGGGTTG